ATTATTTGATTTGTGGTCGCTTGATAAAAATATTTATTTATGAACACTGGATAGTGATAGAATTTGAAAATTTTGAGAGAAAGAAAGGGAGAGGGGTTGCTTTTGATTTTAAAATCTGAAAGGTAGAATTTCATTGTGATATATAGTGCATTAGTGAGCTTGTTTCCCTCTTCTTTGAAACTATAATCCTCCAGTTGAGTCTTGTTGGCTTATTGGAAGCTTCGTGTACTTGAGATTGAAAGAAGAGGAGGGCGAATTATTACGTCCGGACGTCCGGACATCCAATCTAGACGCGCCATGTCACCCGAATACACTGGTCACGATATATTTTGGTGACGTGGCGCGTCTTGATTGGTGTCCGAATGAATCCGGACACCGGATGTAATAATTTGCCCCAAAGGAGAGAGTAGTAGAACCTTACATTGGATGGCTCAAGGAATTGACGTAGGCATTAATGTCGAACCACATAAAAATCCTTTTATGCGTTTTTTATCTCTTTATCCTTATTTTACTACAGTTACACGTTTTTTCTTATGATTTTTAGTACTTTTGTTTAATAAATGAACATCTAATAGATGATAATTTAGTATCTTGTATAAATGAATAATATCTTTAATTTGTTAGTGAAAATCATAATGTGTGAACTACTTAATTTTGAAATTAATGTCTCGATCGCTTCACTTCATAATAATCTTATAAAATAATAAACTATATTGTTCACTGACTTTGAATTTTAAAATTTTATGTCTCACTTATTTAATTAGTTTCAAAAAAAATCAATTTACTCACTCTAATTAGATATTACCATTCTCTTTAGAGTAAATTGAATGTGAATCAATGGCCATAAGATAAAATCCTTCATTTGAGATAGTTTTCTTCAGCTATTTGATTACTACTTTTTCATTAATTTCAAGAAATTTTTGTTATTGTAAGCAATTTTTAACAAAAGCTTTCAAAAAAATTACTTTTCTCATAATAATTTTATAATCACCTTCACAAAATGATGGACGGACCCAGAGGTCCTACCCTATGAAGCATAATCCTTAATAAGTAGTTTTAAGGTTATCAAAATAAAATCACTCAGTGTTTAGTGTTTTTGGACTATAGATCCAAAGCAGTATCTTCTTAAGGATTCTGTAAGGTGATAAAAATCATATTAATTTTTGTAGGTTATTCATCTTTGAGGAGAAATGAGCGAGGATTGGGAAATGGCTAACTCCTGCATAATCTTGCTTTGGTTGGATAAACATTCATGTGAATTTTTGCTATACTTTTCAAACTGATATTACAAATAGGGGTGTCAATATTTGACACGACACGAAAATCAGACTCGAACCCGACCCGGAAATTTCGGGTTTGACCCGACCCGATTTCAAAACGGGTCGGGTTCAAGAAATTGACCCATTTGAAAAACGGGTCGGGTTCGGGTTGACCCGACGGGTTGCCGGGTCAACCCGCGAACCTGTTTAAAAACGGCTGCTCGCACTGCCCACTGCGAACCCGTTTAAAAACGGCTGCCCGCACTGCCCAACCTGCCCGCAAAGTTGTCCTGCCTGCCCAGTGCCCACACACACACACAAGCTTGCCTGCGCTCGCCAGGGCGCCACGCGCACCTGTGCGGCTGCGCTCGCCCGAACCCGACCCGTGAGCCTAAATTGACACCCCTAATTTATAAATACTGATTACTATTACTAAATGCGGTAGCAGGTGCTAGTGTTGTAACTGATAGACTACTATTTATAATTGATAGACTAACGTGAACGATTGGATGATAAGAGTAAATAAAATTGACTGAATGAAAAGGGCAGGTTGGCTAATTGATTAAATTAGATAATGGTTATTGATTTAGTTTTCTTACATGATTTATAGTATACTTTTCCTCTTTTGTCTATATTGATTTCACTTGTAATATTTTAATTATTTGCTAGACTTTTATGCTCATATCGTGGTTTTATATGATTTCAGAAAAATATAATGACCCTGCAAAATTAGGCTGACAGTATTGTGTTTTAGTTTTATTTTAAGTTTTCCGGTTAAATGTGTTTATTTTTGTAGCAGTGTAGCTATTATGAATATTATTTTTGATTCAGATTTTGAAGTACTAGAATGTAGATATTGACTATAGAAAATATAATGATGTTTTCCATCATTTATTTATTTTTGGTAATGCAATTATTTAGCTCTAAATATCAAATTGACTTGATTGTTAATTGAAAAAAAGAAAAAAAGAAAAAAGAAAATAGAATGCGTAGAAAATATCATAAAGAGAAAAAGAAAATAAAATTTTCTATGTTAGATCATGGGGTGTGAAATCTTCGACTTAAACTATTCCAGTCCTCATTGATGTGAGAGATTGTTCGCTCATACACTGATATGATTTATTGAGTAGAAGCTAAAATAATTGTAGATGAAGCCATCAATTCTCATCAAAAACAAATTGAGCATTCCTCCACTAAATGTAAAAAATCGCAAGAATTTGATCAGCCTATACAATAAATTAAGAAGGCACGAAAAAAAAAAATTCTCACCAAATTCCTTTAGGGTCACCTAACTACACTCCTTTGAATGCATCAAAAGTTAATATTTTGATGGAGATTCAAAATTTTGAACATCCCAAGTGGCCAAAGCCCTTAAGGAATCCAAATGGAAGAGATCAATCTCAATAGTGTAACTTCCACCATTCAAAAGGACACTTAACTTAAAAATACTTTCAATTAAAGGATGAAATTGAATGTTTGATTCAACAAATATATTTAGGCCATAAATTGCAATAATAACATAGAGATTGCCAGTCTTAGAATAAAGGAGATCAAAAGAGTCACAGTAAAGAAATTGTTAGCATTACTGACTAGGACTATCTTTATATTTAAAAGTACTTAAAGGATCCAAACTTTAGAAATTTTAACTTATGTATCATTCAAGTAAGTTTTTTTTATATTATTAATAAAAATTTATTTAAATAATATTGCATATAACCAAAACCCAAAGAAGGCACACCTATGAGGTAGCTTCGATAGAAAGTTAGTAGTGGACATAATCCTCACTAGAAAGATTCCAATAGGGAAAGTGGCGATAGAGTCTCCACTCACAATCCTTAGAATGCATGTCCAAAAGGTAGCCATGAAAGAAGTGTAGTAGTGGACAAGGTCATCATTAACAAAACTCTACGATAGCAAGTTGTTGAAAGTGTCATTACTCATTCAAAAACATTGGAAGGTAAAAGCCATAAAAAGTTTAGGATTATTAAAAAACTTTTAAATATAAAGGCCGTAGAAGAAATACGTGTGCATAAAACCTTATAATAAGGAAAAAGCCTAAAAAGCTATATGCACACCCAAAATCTTAGATGGAATAAGCCTCATAAGGTATAGAATTATCCAAAAATCATAGAAAGCATACACCTCAACAGATTCAGGTACAAAAAATCTAAGAAGGCTAATAATCTCAGAAGGTATAGGATTCCACTTATTCAAAAACATCAAAAGATAAAAGCCTTAAAAGATTCAGAATTATACAAAAGCCTTTAAAGATAAATGCCTCAGAAGGAGCATGTGTACGTAAATTGAAAATAACCATCAAGCTCATATAATCATCTCAAAGACATACAATATTATCGGATTTACATGATATCAATTTAGTAAAATTTTACATCAAATTCAAGCACATGGTCTTCTTTATCTAAAATATTGATATAAGGAGTAAGTACTTTTATCAACATTATTTCTACATCTAATACTAAAACAATTTTTTGCAATGATGAGCTCCCAATTAGGAGAAATTTTGGAGCTTCCAAATAAGATGTAAAATATCTCAAAATGAAGTTCATCAATTTTCTTTCAAGAAAAATTGGATATTGCTTACAATTCAGCATGAGGAGCAACTCGTTCTTTACAAAGAGGGGCAATGGAGATTGAAAGGGGATACCGCCTATTCAAGATAATAGAATATCTCTCGTGTGAAAAGGAATAGAGAAGAGAAAGAAAATGTGGGCCATAACAACTTGTTCTCTATAAAGGGGGCACTAAAGTTTGATAGGTGATATTGCTTATTCAAGATAATGAAATGTCTCTAATGTGAGGAGTGGAGAAGAGAAATAAAGGGGGACAAGTGCAACATTTTCTCTATAAAAAGGGGCACTAGAACTTGATAGAGGAAATTGCCTATTCAATCATTGGAATGTTACACACACTTGTCTGCTAGCCGGCCTAGTTCAATTCAGGCCCAATTTTGGGCCCAAACAAATCTATTCTAACATTTTTTGGGCCCTCAAACTATTTTTTTTTTACGTTTTAAATTCAATTTTTGTGTTTTATGAAATTTCCACATAATTTTTTTTTTCCGATCTTAGAATATTTTTATGTATGTACTAAATCTTTGTACAAGATCGAGATATAAATGCATATTCCACTTACTCAAAATTTCTAGCACGTAACAAACTTTATATTAAACAAATATTTGATTTAATTCTTAATGAAATTATGATACAAAATTATCAAAACATACAAAGTAGATTGATTAGCTTGTAAGCATTTCTAATTTTATCGATCATATTGAAATATTAAATTTTATTATGAATAATGCATTTTTATTTTATTTTTAAAAATATTAATATATTTATTTGATAAATTTGTCCATACTTTTAAAAAAATAAAATTATGCTCATCTTTGTGACACATCAAAAAATAATAAATCATTAACGCAAAAATCAGAAAGCCAACATCAAAATTCAAAGACTATTTGGAGCAAATACCCTCTTCTTTGGGAAAACTTATTAGGTGCAAAGTTCAGATGTAAAGCCATGTCCAAACTACACACGTAATAATTGCTCTTGTGAGGTTTTGCTATAAGAAAAAATATTTTGTTTGGAGTATGGACGAGAATAACCGTTCGAACTATGACTGTACACACATTGTATATAAAATGTACACAATGTGTGTCACATTTATATAAACACTGTATACATCCTGTCCAAACTCTGCGTAGAATAATTTCTCTTGCTATAAAGGAACTCATTCTAAAAATTTATTTGTCACCCCTTCAATAGGATTGAAATCTTATAAATCTTCGTGTACACTATTTCATACATTTCTGACAGACTACTCATTTTGCAAGAAATAGACTGAGCTTGGGGCATCTCTGAAAAATCCATTTTTCACTTCAAAATGCATTAAAATTCTAAAATACGGTAATTAATTTTCAATCGAACTCCATTTTTTTCTCCTCTTTCACGTGTTTCTTTGACACATCCCGTAACATATTAACATTAGAATAGAGAGAATGACGACCAGAATACCATCTTATACAATTCGGTTGAAAATGATGTTAATCGAAGGACATTCAATCACTGTATAAAATAACTCACGTAAATAGCAAACACTTCGTACCAAGACGAAGTGAAGAACAAATTAACAAATCAGGCTCGTCCTTTCTTGATCTTCTCAAGCAGAGTTCCCCTGCCGGGGGAAATATTCACAAACCATCCCGCATCTTTATCGCCCAAATCCCTCTTCTTCTCCACAAACACCCCATCACCTCTACTCTCTCTTTCCTCTGCTCCTTCTGCCAAATGGCCCGCTTCTTTCTTCAATTTCTCCATCTGTATCATCCTCCTCTCCCTTCTCTTCTCCCTCCTCTCCTCTGTCCCCCGCCTCACCTTCTCCCCTTCTCTAAATACCCCAACTTTCGTTCCCAAAGCATGGCCTTTTTCCATCTCCGACGAGCGCCGCGGAATCCTACCGCCCATTGAAGTACCGAGCAAGTCTAAATCAACCCTTGCCCATCCCTCCTTGTCACCGTTATCCCAACCAAAGGTTTCGCTCACGGAAAGGAGGTCAGCGAGGGGGGAATCGGAAGGCCGGCGGCATCCGGCAGCACCAGCGAGTAGGCGCTCGGCAGACTCCCATTCAAGGCGGTCGCGGTAGACTGGGTCGGCAAGGACCTCGTCCGCTAGGCGAGCCCAGTCCAGGAAGTCTCCGGCGCGGAGGTTGTTGGAGATCCAAGATAGGTAAGAGGAGGGTAGGGAGCCAAGCATTCGGCCACGGTGTTTGCCGAAGTCGATGACACGGTCCCTCGCCGGGATATTAAAGGAGGCGGCGGAGATTAACGGGCTGTGGGAGGATGAGGTTCGCCGTAGAGAGAGGAGAGGATGTGGTATGACTTTCGGAGAGAAGAGGAGAAGAGACATTTGGGAATGGGGATCTGATGGGACGGGAGGGGAAGATAAGATGGTCTATCTATCTAAAAAATGCAACAGAAAATAAAAGACGCTATGAGACCTAGCCAAACATCTTTAGCGCAACAGAAAATTAAAGATGTTTTCCCAAAAAAAAATAAAGATGCAAATTGTAGCTCGGTTTTGTAAAAGATTTGCGTTTTGTTTTTTTCATTTTTTGTTTGTTTGTTTGTTTGTTTTTTTTTTTTTTTTTTTT